CATTGCCCTGTGTCCTGTCACTACATGCTCTTGGAAAAAGCCCCTCTCCAGCTTTCCTGTAGCCCCTTTAGGTACTGGAAGGCTGCTGTAAAATCACCCCGGAGCCTTCTCTTCTCCAGGCTGAACAGCCCCAACTCTCTCAGCCTGTCTCCATAGCAGAGGTGCTCCAGCCCTCGGATCATCTTCGTGGCCTCCTCTGGGAAGCTGGCTTGTGTGCCGGAGAGTCACGGCGGCTCCGCGTCAGCCTTCCACCTGCAGCTCACTAACTCTCCTCCGTGCTTCTCTATTCGCTCGGCACCTCCACGGCTCCGCAGGCGTGGGAGCCACGTCCCTTCCACTCAGCCCAGCCAGCCTGACTCTGGTCTAACAACGACGGCAACGACCTGACGTAACTCACAGACATGGGCAGCGAGTGAGCGGAGAAGAGGATGACGACGTCTCTCCTTTTGTCAGGTGGAAACAGGTTCAGTTCCTTCTGGATGTGATCGGTGAAGCACTGTTCAGGGAAAAAAAGAGCAAAGACCTGAATCAGAAACACTGAGAAGCATTGTGTAAGAGCAAAGACCTGAATCAGAAACACTGAGAGGCATCGTGCGCCCTCAAATGACCTGAGACAGGCAGCTCTCATGTTCCAGGTGGCCTTAAGAACTTGAGAACATCCCTTTCAGTATGCGTGGGGCAACAAGGAAGGACGAAGAAGGCTTCCCCCAATTGCTCCTGCACAGCCAGTGCCGTGGCTAGAACCACCTCGGTGACACAATCTGAATGTGTGCTGACCACAGAGCTGCTCCGAGCAGGACTTTGGACTAATGACCTCTCGAGGTTCCTTCCAGCCAACACGGCTATGATAACGTGACTATGCTGTTCAAACAAGATGTGCACGGTGGCCACGGTCACTCATCGTCCTGCCAAAACATCTGGCGTGAAATAACCATCCTTCTGTAATTTCATGCTTAGTGGACAAGACACGTCATTACTGTAACTAAAATGTGCCCTCGAATTGAAGTATTCCTTTTATTCTTCTCAAAGTTTTTTGGTGTTTGTGGGGTTTTTTTTAAAAAAAGAAACTATATAATACAGCCTAAATCAGCAAATAGGTTTATCTTCTTTTAGTACATTCTATAGCTAAAAATCTTGTAAGGTTTGTAGGAAGCTAAGACTTGATCTCAGTGAAGTGTTTCCTCAGAATCTTTCTGTTGCTTAACATTGTACTGGTGTACAGTCTTTTTACTGGTAGCAAATATTTCGAAAAAGGAAACTCAATAAACATCCTTCTTTACTTAGTTCTTTGTTAAGTCAGCTGGCAATGCAAAGATACCAAGTTTCTCCCACATCAACCAACCTAAGAAAATCCCAGGGAATTCCCATTTAATAATACATCAGACCTGCTCGTAGAACAGAATCACGGAATGGTTTGGGTTGGAAGGGACCTCAAAGACCGTCCAGTTCCAACCCCCCTGCCACGGGCAGGGACACCCTCTACTACACCAGGTTGCCCAAAGCCTCATCCAACCCGGCCTAAACGTGCTCGGTTCACACCTCTCACTCTGACTGTGAACTTCAAAGGCTGTCACGCAGGTCTGTACCTGGATAAGAAGGGGATGTGTTGGCCATCGGTCAATTATACTCCACTTCATCTTCGGCTTCTCCCCTTTTTTATGATAGTAGCGATAAATGGCATTTAAACTGCTTCCTGAAACAGGGAGAATTAGGAACAGGAGTTCAGCCAAGGCACTGGGAACCTGTCAGATTAAATCAGTTTGAAAATGCTGCATGTTTCAAACGCGACCATCAATCAGAAGTGAGAACCTCAAACGGGGACGATTATATCCAAGTTCCAAGAACAATTTGCTAAACCATTCTTTAACTGAAGAACAACTATTGTTCTAGCTGCCACGCAGAAAGCTTAGTCGTGTTCCTGAGCCATCAGTTTATGTCATCTCACAGGAACAACCGTACCATAAAGCTAAAAGGTTTCTCCTTAAAATTGGGAATTATGGTACATCCAAAGGACCTGGAGCTGGCAATGGAGCCGCCAGGAAGGGGCTCTGTGAGGAGGAGGGGACAGCTGGCTCTGGCACCCCAGGCTTGCAGCCAGGTGCCCACGCTGGCCCGTGCCCCGGGCTCACCTGTGGTAGAACAGCTGTACTGCGGGTACTGCGTGAAGGCGATGGCCCTTTCGATCCCGTCCTTCTCCATCTCCTCGATCGCTTCTTCCGTCAGAGGATGGACGTACCGGAAGCCAATGTAGTATTTGTGAGGCGCTGCCAGCCAAAGCATGGGAAAAGAAATTGAAACAAAAAAAAAAAGAGAACTCTTAATAGAATCATAGAATGGTTAGGGCTGGAAGGGACCTTCAAAGGTCATCTAGTCCAACCCCCCTGCAAGGAACAGGGATATCTCCAACTAGATCAGGTTGCTCAGGGCCTCGTCCAACCTTGTCCAACCAATTGTGTCCAATAAGCTTCCAGCGAACACATTTGGGCAAAGACCACCTAAAGACGGGGGAATCATAGAATCATAGAATGGTTTGGGTTGGGAGGGACCTTAAAGATCATCTAGTTCCAACCCCCCTGCCATGGGCAGGGACACCCTCCACTACACCAGGTTGCCCAAAGCCTCATCCAACCTGGCCTTGAACACTGCCAGGGATGGGGCAGCCACAGCTTCTCTGGGCAACCTGTTCCAGTGCCTCACCACCCTCAGAGTGAAAAATTTCTTTCTTATATCTAACCTAAATCTCCCCTCTTTCAGTTTAAAGCCATTGCCCCGTGTCCTATCACTACACACCCTTGTAAAAAGCCCCTCTCCAGCTTTCCTGTAGGCCCCTTTTAGGCACTGGAAGGCTGCTATAAGATCACTTTATCTATAAGATAAATCAGAATGTTAAATATCAGATATTTAAATACACCGGCGTGATTAAAATGCCAAAACCTTAGGCGAGGCTTTCTTCCTTCTGCCATACAAAAGGAAACGCAGCGCTGAAGCGGTTTATTTACCTAATTTACCTCAACTTTCCAATATAATTGGGCTGCAATCTTCTGCGCCAGCACGGAGATGTTCTAAAAAGGCCCCGCGCCTCACAGGCGTTGCCTGCCTATGGGGCATGTCAAGAGAACCTGGGAATTTTATCCCTTTCGTGCTCCACGTGCCAATGGAGCAGTCACCAGAACAGGATGACCTCGGGCACGAAGGGTTCCTGCGCCTTTCGGGCTCAGGCGCTCGGTCCCAGCACCGCAGGAGTGGGTCAGGTGCGATTCCCGGGCACCGACCCTTTGCTCCACACACTCTTCCTTGCCCTCCAACTCCTGCTTCAGCTCCAGCAAACACCTGGCTCCCTCCCGTTCCCCTCACCCACTCTATCTTTTCCTCCATCATTTTTTGCAGACGGAATTCTATTTCCCTTCTCTCCACCCGCTCGCCTCCAGTTAACCACATTAAAAACACAGCTAAAGCCATCCAAGAGGGACCCACTGTTGGATGCAACTGCTCTGGTCACCATCCTGGTGGGAGAAGATGCCTTCCCACACCCTGCTAAGCCTGCCCTGTTGGCACACAAACCCCCAGGGACTGGGACTATTGTCTGGGCAGGAGACCAGTGGCACTGAATAAGGGACGTGTGTTCTTTCATTCTGGTTTCTAGGCTTTTCTCGTGCCTTTAAACACTTTATTTTGGAGGCAACATTATTCTCTCCAAGGACAACGTTTTAGGTTTTTCCATTTTCCGTCTCTAATCTTTTGGGGGTCAGCTTCAAGGTTTGGGGAGTATGGTTTGGATAGGGGGAGGGAGGAAGGGCAGGTTTGCTGGTTTATTTTTTTAAGTAGAGGACAAAGGTTCTCAGGAGAACAAAAGCAAAGTTTCTTTTTCAGAGTTTCCGGGTCACTAGCTCTGAAATAACATTTAACAGGTTTCTGAAGGAAGCAGATGTCCCGTGCTCGGTCTCCGCTCCGTGCATTTATCCAGGATTCAGAAAACAGTTTTAGTCAGCCCCAGTTCTCTCCAGGAGGCAAGAGAGCTCCCAGCTGGGAGCAGAAGCAAATAATAACCCAGCTTCGGCAGCCCTGCGAGCCAGTAACCTCACTAACATTTTTAAATGGTGTTAAAAACCCAATTTTGACTAACCAGAGCAAAGACAGGAGGAGCTGAACCTGGGAAACGACGTACTGGGCAAAAAACATAGAATCATAGAATGATAGAATCATAGAATGGTTTGGGTTGGAAGGGACCTCAAAGACCATCCAGTTCCAACCCCCCTGCCATGGGCAGGGACACCCTCCACTCCACCAGGTTGCCCAAAGCCTCATCCATGGACAACTTGGAAACTTCTTGCACTACTCTCGCAGTATTACGTTTTGCCTGGCTCAGAGGCAGCAAAGGAGAGATTTTCATGTCTGTGTGCAAACTCATTTTGTTGTTCCAGTTCGAGTCACAGCTACTGGAAACAGCGACACCTCCTTCCGTGAAGAGCTGCCAAGCTAAAGAGACAACGCGGCCCCCTCATCCTGGGAGCTTCCATTTCGCTGGCAAGGGAATCTCAGCTAAAATACAGCTTGTAAGAGACACTAAGAACCGTTTTCATTAAAAACAATAAAAAAGCAAGACCTGTGCTGCCTTAAAATCTAACTAGTGCTGCAAGACATTAGCCTATTTGATGTCAGCACTCAAAAAAAACGACGATAGAAATGGATTTTCCTATCATCACGTTGGTGTGATTTATTCTTACAGCCTACCCGGCCCCGCTCACTCAGAAAGCAAGAACTCTGGTTCATTTTCAGACGCTGCCTGCGACAATAAAGCTCCAATTTCAAATTATATTGTTACCAGATGACATGGGTGAGGCTGTTCATTTACTACGTTAGTCCCATCGCCAACGTGTAACACGCCAAACACGTACTACAAGTCATTAAATCAGGATTAATTCCCACAGGAGGGAATTTCACAGGTGGTTATTGATACTGTCTAGCATGAGCTCTTCACCAAACACATAGCAACTAGAAACTCGAAGCTCCACCAGTCCAGATCAAGGTAAAAGGAGTATGCAGAGTCCTCCTTCTCTGGCATGTGTTTCAACAAGCCCTACCACTACAACCTGGGAGTTACTCATTAACAGAGCTCCCAAAGTGCTACCTGTGAGCACACGATATTCCAAAACACGCAGCTCGGTCTGGAAGAGCATCCAACTCTTTCAAGCTGTTCTGAAGTAAGGCAGTATCTCAGCAGGGTTACTAGAAATGCTGAAGGAAACGGTCAGCACTCAATTCAACTGTTAGCAACAGTTAGCTCGTTCAATTTTTAAAACTGCAGCTACTGTTAGGTAGAAAAGGAGGTCTCTGAAGGACTTATCAGGGGTAAGAACTGCACAGAGGCAGGCGTGACAGCACAAAAAGTGGTCACCAAACAGAAGCAAGTGGGAGTGGTACACTGAGGATAGCAGATAAACTTTCCAAACTTTATCTTCAGAACCTGTTGCAGGCCTGCCCCTTCAGGGGCTACTGCTGCTAAAACCAGTACTGCCTTGGATGCCACAGCCCAGCATGGTCTGGCTTCGGGATTTGACTACACTTGCAGGGACCACAGCTGGAATTAAGCTAGAGAGTAGCATCTGTAGGAAAAAAAAATCACCTTAATGAAGGTATCAGTGATGCGTTATGCACTGAACAAATGAAATAAATTTGGTTCTAGCCTTCCAAGAGTGTTAGTTTTCACCTTCCAGAGGCTTTTACCAGTCTTCTACCTCCAGCCCTTTTCTACACAAGTCTGAAGCAGGTGCCACAAAGAAATACAGAATAGCTGGGAACCAAATAACACTGTCATACATGGAGAGGATGCCCTGACACACCAGCACTACATCAGCAAAGGTGATGGAAAGCGAAGGGAGCTGGCAGCTTGCAGCACCACGCACTGTAAAGCTGTGGAGCTGGAGAGAACAGAGCATTCTCCTCTTTGGCTTCTCTTACTCGAGCAGTTTTTCTGTTAAAAATGTTCCGTGTTCCTACCGGAACAGCAGGATGAGAAGCATCATCTGCAGCTGACACATCGGTGAGGAACTCAGCAGGCAGCGTAGTGATCTTGTTAATTCCTTCTGCTCACAAAGGCAGTGAGCTGCTTCAAGAAGAGAAAGCATAATGAAGAGAAACACCTTCCCAGACCAAAGGTGACCCCCAGACAGGTCATTTCAGACAGACCAACCACCACCTCACTGCTCCTCCTGGCTTCTGCCAAAGCAGGGGTGACCCACTGTCTTTTTTGCGTGGCCCATGACAGGCAAGACGTAGAAGGTGGCCACCACCCTTGAGCTGCCACCTGGACGTGGAAGTTTGATTTCCAGTGCTGCCACTCACATTTAAGCCGTGGTTTTAATGTCACACAGCAAGAAACCGTAGCACAAAAGCGACTGTAAGCCAACGATCTATCGCTGAAGAAGAAACGGGCTTCCAGTTCATCCCAGCTGCTAACTGGGCAGCAACATGAGCTCCAGTCAAATTCAAGTAGCAACCAATCTGAAAGCAGTTTAGCTAAACTGGTGCAAATTACACCATGAATGCGTTTAACCTGAGTGAAAAATGACTCATGCAATAATTTGGTTAGAGGTTTTAGGAGAGAGAGATTGAACACGGCTGAATCACGGCAAATTGGCATCCTGCGAACGACCGCCGCGGTGCCGGCACCCCGAGCCCGCTGCAGCTGCAAGGTGAACTGTTTCAGCTGAAGCCCTCAGTAAAAAGACATTGGCAGGAGCATCTGCACCCCTTTCCCATCCCACTAGTGCCAGCAGGTAGCCTGGCACAGGGCAACCCATCCAAGGCATGGCTCCTTGCTATGAGGGAGCAAGGTTCAGGGATATTCTGTGATCCGGAGAGAAGGGAGGGAGGTTGTATTCTCCTTTCAAGTTTTCTCATCATCAAGAAAGAACTGGCAAAGAGGCAGCTCCTGCCACCCAAGCCAAACTGTTAGGCTTTATCTCCTGCTGTGTGCTCGGGTGGGGCTTGCTGCTATCACTCAACCAAGCCCCACCACCTTCAGCCACAAAACCTTGTCTCTTCTCCCAACTGGCCGCCTCTTCAGTCCTGAAATGTTATCTGCTATGAACAGTTACAGATTCAGACAAAGTTTCAAAAGCTCTGGGTACATCCAGGCAATGATTGCAGAGAGACATTTCAGAGGAACCGAAGACACCTGCGGCTCTGGAGAACAGTCGGGCTCCTGACACCCTCCCACCCAGTTTTACCTATTCCTCTGGCTCAGGCTGGCGTAACAAAGGCAAATACAAAAGGCTTTACAGAGTTAAGTTCTGGCCTCAGAGCTCTTCTACATCAGCCAGTCCCTGCACAGTGTCCCTCTTCGTAAAAGATAAGAGAACGACAGGAGATTATAGTGCCAACACATCTCGTGTGCCACTGAGAATGCCCCTCTGAATGCCCTTCTCCCCTGCCTGCCTTATTTGTTCACGTGAAATACATTCCCCTTTCTCATCACCTAAGGCTCTACCACTTGTCTTCAGTGTAGTCTTCCTCAGGCTGAAGCAGGGCTCACAGGGCAAGGTATGGCACCCTGCAGTCGTACACACCGACGGGGACTCCGGTCACCCAGCTTCAGCCAGCTGAAAATAAGACACTTTGCCTATCGCAGTCATCTAGACTTCTGCCCACAACCAAAGGAGAGGGAGAAGTGGACCTTTAGAAGGTGACCCCTCCATCTTTGATCATGACCTTAGGACATCACCTTCTCTCCAAGCCCTACTCTCTCTCAAGGGAAGAGGGAGCAGAGGCCACCAGTTCAGGCCAGATGCCCAGCTTCCCGATGGCCGAAGTTACGCACCAACAGCACTCTCCAAAATCAAAGCCGCTCTCCAACGCAGCCACAGCCACGACCACAGCTCAGAAACAGATTTGGGTGCGTGAGAACCCCACGCTTTTGCACACGCTTAGTTTTCAACGAGTAAGAACTTCTGCAGTATCTCGGTCACGATTTCCTGGCAGGGCTGAGGACACTGTTCACACTCACAATCAAAATGGAGAAGCAAAAGCTGCTTTGCAATTGTCTACGTTCGACACGTGCAGCAAAAGAAACTTTTAACAAACACGGGAGAGTAAAGACGTACCGGTGCGAGGAGACATGCTGTCCAGCAGCTTCACCATGCCTTCCCCCTGCACCGCCGTCCACTTCTTGATGGGCGCCCCGCCTCCAATCCTGCTGTACTGCTCCTGGATTTTCGGCGTGCGGCGTTTGGCAATGAACGGGGCTAATTTACTGAAGCATTCGAAAGGTACGCGCGTTAACGTCGCGCCCCAACTCGCCGCCCTTCTCCCCACATCCCTCCGCTGCAACGGGTTTCCCAGGGCGACCTCCCCAAATTATTGCAAACCAGCATTGCACGGCTTGTTCGCCGTCCCGTTCCATCACCCTTCCCAAATTTACTGGGTGACAGGAAATGGCAATTTGCAATTAGAAGAGAATGATTTGGGCACGCCTGTTTCCAGAGAGTTGTAACACCCTTCCTGGCACCGACTGGTCCCAAGAAATGCCGAGATAAACAGAAGTGAAACGTGGCAGCCTACAGCCACGACAGCAACACCCAACACCGGCTGTAACCCAGGAGTTCCTGGGGTTTCTCACTTTTGAGCTGGAAGCGTCATCAGATCCCTGTCCAGGAAGAGGCGAAGTAAGAAATCGTGCACATCATCCAGCCGTTCCGGACCGCCCATGTTTAACATCAAGATTCCCGTTTTAGGTTTCCTGTGGAAGCAAGAGATATTTCAAATCCTGGTGACCTCCTGCTTTTATTTTTTTTTTTTTTTTTATGATTACAAAACAATCAGCTTATCCTCCTGCACTTGTCTTTTGCAATAGCAGCATCGCATTCAGAGGCTCATCCTGCTTATGTAAAAATATGAACTACGAGCATGAATAGCTGGAGAACAAGTATTTACACGATCTTTACTTTTGTTTTTTTTTTTAAAAGTAATCCCTTTGCAACACAGAGTTTAACTGGAAATACACTGAGAAAATTATCTCAGGGCTGGAGGCTGTAAGGGAGGTTATAAAACAGGGTTCAAGGAACTCTCTCAGCTGAACGCCAGCTGCAGATTCCAGCCGAACCCAGCAGCAGCTTCCGCAGCACACAGACCACACAAGTATTTATCTTCCTCACTCTGGACACACATCTCAGCTGCTGAAGCAGTGAAAGCAGCAAGGAGCCATCCTACACATAAAATACATGCAGGGTTGGTTTTGCTGAGGTGGTTGGTTGTTGGTTTTTTTTTTCCCCGCAACGGGTTTTCCATCCAGGTGCAGGTCTGGCACACTGTTCTAAGGATAACATCCCTCCCAGCGCAGCAGAGTGGAGCAGATGGTGGTACCACATTTGACAGAAAGGGCTGCTGATCACAGCTCTCACCCAAGAAGTGGATTTCCCTGTTCTCCCTGCCCGAAGGAGCCCAGCGAGCAGGATCTCTCGCCTCCTCAGCAGACGGAGCCAAGGCTGCACAGGGAGCTTCGCCCTGCTCTGGTTAATGCCAAAGTCTTACAAAGGGGCACTGAGAGGAGCCCAGGCCTGCCCTGATGGGTCAGGACCTGTTTCCATTCCCTTCCTCCTGCAGTGTCTATCAGCAGAGGGTTGCTGAATCAAACCCAGGAAGCAGGAACCAGAATCTCAAAGAGTAACATCCCACCGTTTGCTCTTCTTCGATTGCTTGTGCCCTGCCTCAGGCCTCCTGGCGGGCCACTGCCTCGCCGCGCTCTGCGGAGAACAGGGCAGGCCACCCTCGCCCCGCGGAGCTGTGAGAACGAGAGGCTGGCCCAATGCAGATAAAAACAGCCACACCAAGCGCAAACCAACGAGATCAAGCCCCGTGACTGCCACGTCCTACCACCTAACCAGCTCTGCTATGCAAAGCAAGCGGCACGCCGTATCGGAGAGGGACAGCGGGCACTGGGAGCAGGTGCCACCCACCCCAGAGCTCCCGGCAAACTTACCGCACTTGGGGCTGAATTTGAGGTTTGGCGCTTTCCGTCACCACAGCTGCAGTCGCTTGGCTTCTCCATCGCACCGGGCCCCTCAGCTGACCGCTGCTTTTTACGACTGGAAGAAAGAGAACAGCACATCCATAACCCTGCGCCGGCCCCTGCACCAGGTCGGCAACGAGCCCTCTACACCTACACAAACACCCGTGGCAGCATCGTGCTGCTTGCTTTTTTCTCCCTTAAGCTCCAGGTCCTGGAATCAAAGGCATGAAATGGCAAGCTTCTGCCCTTCTTTAAACAGTCTGTACGTTACCAGCTTTTCAGATACCAGGCAGTAACCTAAAAACCAAACAAAGGCCTCGCTAATCTTTAATCTCCAGTCATAAGTCCAAAATAACTGGTGACAACACAAAAGACACGGCGAGGGCTGACACGCTAAAGAAGTAACTACGGCAAGTTACGGAACAACTCGTGTACGGACGTACCTGGGCTAACGCCAGAGAAGTATTTCCACACCACCCCTACCATGTAGGTCAGACTTTTGTCAGTTTAGGGTCCCCAGCAAACTTCAGCAACGTAGCTCAGCACCCACGAGCCAGCAGCACCCAGCTCTGCAGTCTGACCCTGTGCCGGGTACACTGAGCAGCGATTTCAGAATCCATTTACCCAGGAACGTGGGCAGCCTTCTTCCTCACCACCCAGCCAGGCAACTCCTATTATTCCTGGATTTCAGCATCGGCCAAAAACCAGGAGACTTTAGAAGTCAAATCTTCCCACATGCTGGTTGCAGCCTGCTTTTTGAAAAGCACGCTCTGTTTTCCTCAGGAGTTCATAGTCATTACATGATATTTTTTAGCGTAACAATAGTGTGAATTGCCCAAGATGAAAAAAAAAATTGTTAAATTCTGCATCCCCAGCTCTCCAGCAATTGTTTGGAGCGACACTTCCCTCGTTAGACTGCGGGAGTTCCAGCAGCAATTGAGCCCCAACAGCACAGCCCTCCTCAGCAGCCCATCCACCCGCTGGGAAGAGCATCTTACGGTTCACAGGTCCCTAATAACATCCCGAACGGATGCTGAACGCCCTCAAAACCTGCTGAAATCAATGACAGGGAAAAGCATCTTGCAAATCCAGCTTCTTGCTCGGGATTAAGAGTGGGTGGCTACGGATGCTTGTGTCTGCAGCGATATAAAGGGCTGCAAAGGAAAGAACTTCAACTCAAGCACCGCTGACGCCTCAAAGACTCTTTTCAAAGAATTACATTCTTCTTCTTCCAGTGCTTAGGTTATTCCTTTCTGTATGTTAATTATAAAGAATAATAAAAAGAGTCGTTTCAACGGCTGTATTGATCCCTCTGCGCTGTAACTACATCCTGGAAAGCGTTTGTTTTGGGCAAGGTGAGGTCTGACCACGTTCCTCCCCGCACCACGACGCGGGTGACGCCGCAGGGTGCGCGGCGAGGAGGATGGCGCACCGCTAATCGCGCTCTTTTTGGGGTTTTAGAAAT